AGCTCAGTATAGAAAAGTTTCAAAGAAAAACCTAAAATGGAGTGAACTCCCACATATCCATTACCCAACTTCGACAAATACCAACCTGTGACTAATCTTGCTTCAATAATAGCCCCAGATGTTCGTCACAGTCCTTTGCTACCCAAACTGGGTTATTTTAAAGAATATCTTACACCTTTTATTTCCTTGTGAATATTTTGGAATGTATCTCAAAATATTCTTAAAAAAAAAAAAAGAACAGAGTTCCAGGACAGCTATGGCTGGAAACCCTGTCTCAAATAAAAACACAAAAACAAACAAACAAAAAAATCCAAGAAAATCACTGTTTCTGTCTGTCTGTCTGTCTATCTATCTATCTATCTATCTGTCTATCTGTCTATCATCTATCTATCATCTATCTTATCTCAGACAAGATCTGGCTGTGTATCTTGGCTGTCCTGGAACTTGCTATGTTGCCCAGGCTGTCACTGAATTCAAGGAGACCTAGCTGCCTCTCCTCCTGAGAGCTAGGATTAAAGGTATACATCAACACACCTGATTTCTTTTCTTTTCTTTTTCTTTCTTTCTTTTCAGTTGAATGGCTTAAATCAGAATCTAGCCAAACTGCATTTCATGTATATACATCCTTTAGACTTTCCTTTTAAAGGCAGGTTTCTTGTAGCACAGACTGACCCTATGTAGCAAAGGATCACCCTGATCCCAGTTGCTGGGATTACCACACCAGGTTTATGCAGTGCTGGGAACCCTATAAATGGAGACTCGCCATGTGGGTTCCCTTGTGAGCTCTGAGGGACTGCAGGGCGACTATTCTCTGGTCTGTATGATTCAGTGGAGCTCACGCCAGGCATTTCCAAAGCAGCTTGCCGGCACAGATCTTTACTGTCCTTAACTGCTGATCCCTGCTCCATATCCTGGAGGAAGTCAGGAAGGGAGGGGACACAGGCACTAGGCAATATATAAGCCTTGGAGCTATGGTAGTGACCAAGATGGACACAGTCATTACCCCCTTGCTGCTGCCGGCGTAGGGCAGGGGCCTGCAAACCGGGCGTAAGAGCTAGAGATCAGAGTGGGGGAGGAGTGAAGTTTAGAGAGGGGCTTGTGAAAGCAGCCGGTCCTGGGTGGGGGAGGGGCATCCCTGAGGAGGCGCCTGGAGGACTGACAGGATGAGCTGGTCAGCACAGGGAGCGCTGGGCCTGCAGGGTAGGAGCCAGTACAGACACGGAGTCAGAAAGGCAAAGGAACCTAACTGGTCACTCAGGCCTGTAATCACGTCATTTGGGAAGTGGATGGAGGCAGGAGGACCAGGAGTTCCAAGTCATCTTTAGCTACATATTTAATTTCAGGTTAGCCTGGGATACACGAAACCCTCTCTGAAAAGCAAAAGCAAGACATTTGGGAGGTCCCAAGTACCCCTTTTGCTACAGGTGGGAAAATGGAGCCACGGCCGGCTGTATGAATTCCCATTGGGTGGGGAGTTTAGTTTCAGGCCTAACTGGAGGGAACATTGTTCCACCTAACTGGAGGGAACATTGTTCCACCTAACTGGAGGGAACATTGTTCCACCTAACTGGAGGGAACATTGTTCCACCAAGCTGGCTATTTGACATATTTAAAAAAATAAAAGTTTTGAGGGAGAAGCTCAAAGTTGGGAATCATCTGAGACCAGGCCAGTTAGCTGCTTAGCATCTCTCTGAACTTAGCTTTCTTTCTCACAGATGGCTGAGCGGAAGGTCAAACTGGCTGAAGAAATAGCTTTCTCAGTAATAATGCTAAGGAGAGTTATGCGATCTTGGCCTCAAGTAGTCCCCCGGTTTCACGGTTCTCGCATGAAATTTGCTTTCTAAGGCCGGCATGCCTTGTGAAAATAGAATCATTCCAGTGCTCAGATTCCAAAGAATGGATGGTACCGGGAGTGTTGGACGGTTTGAATTCCTCTGGAAAAGAGCCTCGTAGAAGGGAGCTGCCTGTACGTGGCCTCCGTGGGATCGCTTCCCACCAGCAGCCAGTCAAGGCCAGCTTGTGGCGTCTGCTCCAGAAAGTGAGCTGTTTCCCACGCTCCCCCACCACAGTGCAGTTGGGACGTTTGTGCTGGGGGAGGCTCAGAGTTGAGAACTGGGCTGCAAGAGGCGCCTTGCCTGACTGCCATCTCTGCAGACGTCAGGGTTTTTCTAGAAAAGTCTTACTGTTGCCAAGCGATGGAAAATATGTCATTTGAGGAGTTAATAGCCCGTGACATTTATAAAAAGAGATGGTTTGGGGGCTGGGGATGTAGCTCAGTAGGGAGAAGACTTGCCTGGAATTCACAGAACCCTGGGTTCCATTCCCTGGAACGATATAACCTGGATGTGGTAGTGTATACCTCCCACACACCGGGGAGGTAGAGGCAGGAGGATCAGAAGCTCAAGACCTGTAGATGGGGGGGGCGGGGGGGGTTGGCAGAGCTTCTGCACATGAGTGAGAAACCCTGGAGTCAGTTCCCAGCACTGCAATAAATAAATAAGTCTATAGATTGATCAATTAGTTAAAAATACATGATGCTTTTGTAAGTTCTAAAGCTCTAGGCCTTTACCAGCCTAGGTTGGAATCAGCGCCACCACCTCCATCCTTCTTCCCACATCCTGGGAACCGAGAGATTTTTGTCTCCAAATCTATAAAGTGGAAAGCAACCCGACCTCTAGCTTCCCCATGCCCTCTCAAACACATGACAATACTCCGTAAGAACTAGAAATGATTCTGAGAACGCTGTACACATCCCAGTTAGACTAGCCTTGAACTCACTGTGCAGCAAAGAATGACCTCGGGATCCTCCAGCCCCCACCTTCCCAGTGCTATGATTACGGGCATATACCACCATACCCAGCGAACACATGGCTGGTAATTGAACCCAATGCCTACAGGTGTATATACCACCGGGCCTGGTCTACACGTTGCTGGCAATTAAACCCAAGGTCTTCTGCAGCCAGGCAGACATTCTTACACCTTGGAGTCAAGAACTTTGGGTCAGAGTTCCAGTGGTGCCAATTACATAGGGTGACTCTGGACAAGTGAATTACTTAATTTTCCCACTACAAAAATATGGATGTCAGTGACACCTAGCCTTCTAATGTTTGCCCAAGGGTTAGATGCTGCTCGCAATGCGGTGAGCTTTACACCTGTGAGCTGGTGTTCTCAGCTCTGAGCTAGTCACACTGGTTAGTGACACTACCGTAGGCCGCGCGGATTTACTTCTTAACACACATTCATCTGCCACCACCTGTGTTATCCTTCCCCTGGGCTGGGGGTTCCTTGAAGGTGGGGTTGTATCCAGCACATTCTGGGGCTCGCCCTGGTAAAGCACAGTCCCCGTGTGGAAGGCTTACTGCCTCTGCTGACTTAATTAGTCATTTGGATAACGCTGGCAGTCAACAAGCACGGCCATCATCTTTGTCAGGAGGACATAGGGGGCTCTTGAGAAGTGGGAGACACCCGCCCATACCGTGACAACAGGCACCCAACAGTCGTCCTAGACATTTCTGGATGTTCCCTCTGTCACCTATCATGTCTAGATGTGTACCTGGTAGCAGCAGTTAAAGGGAGGGAAGAGTTAATGGCTCTATTGGGCTTTCGTTCCGTCATAGCAGGAAAGGTAGCGTGGAGCCCCGGGAAGCTGCTCAGTCCATGTGATGGGAGCATATGGCGGAGGTTGTTCTCAAGGTGGCTGACAAGGGCGCAGAGAGCAAGGCGGGAGCTGGGGCAAAGGTCTGTTCCAGAGTGATCTACTTCCATCAGCCGGGCTCCGTTACACAAGCGCTCCAGATAGTACCGTCAGCTGGAAAGTTTGTCGGTGTTGTTTTAAAATCAAACCCTAACGTTCCCCTTGAGGCGTTCGTCGCTGTGCTCCCTCTATAACCGCATTCGGTTCCCTGCAGGTCACCACCAATGGCATCATCGCCATGAGCGAACCCCCAGCCAGAGAATCCCACCCTGGAACCTTTCCTCCCAGCTTTGGCTCAGTGGCGCCTTTCCTGGCGGACTTGGACACAATGGATGGCCTGGGGAACGTGTATTACCGAGAAGACTTATCCCCCTCCATCATTCAGATGGCAGCAGAGTATGTCCAGAGAGGCTTCCCAGATGTCACTTTCCAGCCCACTAGTGTGGTGGTTGTCACTTGGGAATCCATGGCCCCCTATGGAGGGCCCAGCGGGAGCTCTGCCCAGGAAGGCAAGGTGAGTGCAAATGGAGACGTAGGTATCTGGTGTATTGGCTTCTGGTGTCTTTGGACTTCCGGTCTGTGCTTGTTCCGATGGATGTCATGCTTATGCTGTTGCTCAGACAGGAAGTCTAGAGGAAAAATCCACTAAGTTTCTTGTTGCAGATCAACAGATTCTAGATACTTCTCTATAGGGCTGTCTAAATCTGTTTCTGTATCTGTTGTTGAGAAAGCCAGTTATTTGAGGGGGGATTGCTCCATGGCAAACATATGGGAAGTGGTATTCCTTGTGTGTTCTTTCCTTAATTGAGAGAATGGGAAGATAGCTTCTAATTATATAGAGAAGTTATTAATATGCTAGGTTCTGATATCAGGTACTTCTGAGCGGAGGAAAGAAAAGTCCTCTAGTAAAGAAACCATCTTAGTAATTCTGTCCAAACAACTGTCCAAACCCTTAGCTATATCTCCTCTTATCCCTGTCCCCAAGTAGGACACATGGCATCCCACAGCACACACTTTGGAGAAGTCTGTGACATGTCTGCATATCACACAAGGCTTTGCAAAGCTGGAAGATTGCCTGGCATAAGAATATTGAACTCTTGCCTGTTTCCTGGGTCTAACCCATGTATTTGCCTTGAGCATGCCTTTTCTTTCATTCTGGTATGTTTTTAACCCACAATACCGCGCACACACTGTCAGTTGTCCTTGTGATGATCTCCTGTGTGAATGCTCGGGCCCTCCCATGAAGCCTTGACCAGAAAGCGCCTCCTCTGTCCCCACCCCACACAACATGGATACTTCCTCATTTGACCGACGTGTAGTACTCTGCGTGTACCTCTGTTACAGTGTCTGTCCTCAGGTTAGGCTGTGTTTTGTTCATATGTAGACTGTACATTCCCCGTTGTAAGAGAATGAGGTGGAATACTGCCGCCTCTCCACTGTCTTGTCTACCGGGAGCCCAGAGGACTGCGTGCTTTGAGGGTATGGTTGTATTGCTAGGTAACTGACTGCTAATTCATCTTCACAGAGAAACACGTTCCAGGCTGTTCTAGCCTCCTCAAATTCCAGCTCCTATGCCATTTTCCTCTATCCTGAAGATGGTCTACAGTTTTTTACAACATTCTCGAAGAAGGATGAGAGCCAAGTGCCTGCCATGGTTGGTTTCAGCCAAGGTTTGGTGGGATTTCTATGGAGCAGCAATGGATACTATACCATATTTGCCAATGACAGAGAATCAATTGAAAATTTGGCCAAGTATGTATATTCCTTACTTGTTTTTCTTCATTAGAAAATAGTTATTTTTGTAATATGATTGTATATTGTTTTACCCAGCAGAATGTACTAGGTATTATGTTACCTAAGAATGTTCCTGTAGATTTAATTTTTATATAGAGATATTTAAATGATGAAATAGTGTTTTTTCCTGATGAACTTTAGGGGATATTTTCAGCACAAAGAGATATTTTGTTCATTTGCTTTACTTTTTATTTATGTGTATGAGTGTTTTGCACCATATGTCTGTGTCCACATCCATGCAGTACCTATGGAAAATAGAGGGTACTGGATCCCTGGGATTAAAATTACAAATTGTTCTGAGCTACCACATGGGTGCTGGGAATTGAACCCAGACTCTGGAGGAATAACCAGTGCTCTTAACTTCTGAGCTATCGCTCCAACCCCAATAGTTTGTTATTTCAAGTGCACCCTCACGCAAAATTGTCTCTCCCATGTCTCCTATGAGTCTGAAGTCAGAAATGAAGGCAATTCACACCTGTCTCCTGCTAGGAACCTGAACTGAGATTTTCCACCACGCGGCTGCAGGGACAGTCTTTACTGTGCTCATACTCGGTGAAGCCTCACGGTAACGCTGCTGTAGATTTGACAGAAGAAGCCAAGATTAGTGTTTTTGTCTTGCTCCCCTCACCCTTACCCTGAGACAGAGTTTCTCTGTGTAGCCCTAGTGCCTGGAACTCACTGTGTAGACTAGGCTGTCCTTGGACTCAGAGATCCACCTGCCTCTGCCTCCCAAATGCTGGGATTAAAGGTGTGTGCCACCACCACCTGGCATAGTACTTCTCACCTTTTAAAACATATGATTTAGAGGCGTGTGTGTGTGCATGCGTGTGCATGCGTTCATTTCAGTTCTGAGAATTGAATGTAGGGCCTTGTACATGCTAGGCAAACACTTTTACCATTGAGCTACATCTCTAACGCTTAATTTTCTTATAGTAACTGTGTTTCATAACTGGCTTGGAAAAATTCTCCAAAATTTAACAGCTGACTCTTCCCAAATGTTTTATATTATTTCTGAAAGAATACTTCTGGTCACAGAGAGAGCTAGGGTCATGCTCCAAGGACAAAAAACATCTGTATTTTCTCTGTGTACACAAATACGTTAGCTGGTCATGATGGCACATACCTTTGTTCTCAGCGCTCAGGAGACAGAGCAGGTAGATAGGTATCTGAATTTGAGGCCAGCCTGGTCTACAGACTGAGTTCTAAGACCATTGGGGATACAAAGAGAAATCCTATCTCAAAAAACAAAACAGAACAAAATAAAACAAACAAGCTACCAAAAACAAATACGTTTTACACCATGCAGTTAAAGATAATAGTGGGGAACTAACTCTCTAGTCACCTTAGTTCATGAGATGGGGTTATAAATGGTGAATTGTGTGGGCTGGTGACATCCACAGTCCTTGGGGACCTGGGATGGCTCTAGAGGGTAAGCTCGTCATGGTGTGGTGTCTATTTAGATTCAAGCTCACTCAATAGTCCCTGCCTGTTTGAGCCCTGTAATGACCACACATGGCAGCTGCTGCCCTCCTGGACACCAGCCCTCACTGAGGGTAGACACATGGCATGGGTTTCAGGTGGATACAGGTCACCTGAGCTTTTTCTGCCCATTTGGTCAGTGGGGTCTACCTGTGGGGCCGTGGCCTGTTCTCAAGCTGTCTTCCTTGCCTTTAGGAGCAGCAATGCTGGATACCAGGGTGTGTGGGTGTTTGAGATTGGGAGTCCCGCTACTGCCAAGGGCGTGGTGCCAGCAGATGTGAACCTAGACCTGGATGAGGAGGGAGCAGACTATGAGGATGAAGAGTATGACCTGGTGACCTCTCGCCTGGGCCTGGAGGATGTGGCCACCTCACCCTTTCCTTCCCACAGTCCGAGAAGGGAACACACTAACCCACACGGTGCGCCCAGGGTCCTTTCTCCTAGCTATGAGGCTACAGAGAGACCCCATGGAATCCCCTCTGAGAGAACCAGGTCTTTCCAATTGCCAGTGGAGAGGTTCCCCCAGCAGCACCCCCAGGTCATTGATGTGGATGAAGTCGAGGAAACAGGAATTGGTAAGACATCTGTTTTACGGTTTGGAACCTTTCTTGCCTGCTTGGGTTTCTAGACAGGAGTTGGTTCATGTAGGTTGGGTCATGTGTTGATGAGGTGACTTTGTGGGGAGCAGGTGGCCTGGGGGAGCAGGAACTGAATGTTCACGCTGAAGATCAGCTGATGCATAGGTCCAATGGCTTCTGAGTGACCCAGTGATCTTTTAGGATGAGAACTTTGGTTCTAGACACAGTGGGTAGTGGGGGTATGCCTCATTTCAAGATTCTTCCTAATGTATTCTGTTTTCAGGAGAGTCAGAATCAGAGAGAGATGGCTCAGTAGTAGGTAAAGGTGCTGATGTCCTAAGTTTGATCTCCTGGAGGTCACATAGTAGAAGAGGAATGATTCCCCCCAAGCTATCCTCTGACTGCCATACACATGTATGTGCGCACACATGCGCACATACACAAACAAATAAACGTATTTTTTTTCAAGACAGGGTCTCATTTATGTAGCTTTGGATGGCCTGGGACATAGACTAAACTGGCCTTGAACTCATGAAGATTCCACTGCCGCTGCTTCCCAGGTGCTAGGATTAAAGCCATGCACTACCGTAATCTGGCTAATATTCTTTTTTTGTTTTGTTTTAAAATGTCATTGTTAGGTGCTATTTGCCAAACGCTATAGAAGCTGAGGCAGGAGGATCAATGTTTCTAGGTACATGATAAGTTCCAGGCTAGCCTGAGATGCAGTAAGATCCTGTCTCAAAACCCAAAAGAGAACCGCCGGGCAGTGATGGTACATACCTTTAATCCTGGAACTTGGGAGGCAGAGAGACAGGTGGACCTCTGAGTTTGAGGTCAACCTGGGCGACAGAACAAGTTCCAGGACAGACTCCAAAGCTACTCAGAGAAACCCTGTCTCAGAAAACCAAGAGAGAGAAAAAAAAAAAAAAAAAAAAACAGAGAGAGAAGAAGGGAGACTTTTAGAATATTTTGAAACTCAAGTTTCTTATTTGTGACTTCTGAGATGTATTCACCCACCTGAAAAAACATTCTAGAAGTTCCTTTGGCTCTATACAACTTTTCTTCCACATTTTCCCCTCTTGGTTTTGAAATTCGAACAGTTGATTATTTTTCCTTCTGTCAGTTGCAGAGTTGCTTTCTAAAGAACACACACACACACACACACACACACACACACACACACCAGATCCCCTTAAAAGATTTCTTCCTCTTCTTCTCCTTCTTCCTTCTTCCTCCTCTTCCTCTTCCTCCTCCTCCCTCTCCTACCCTTTCTCCCCTTTTTCTTCTTTTATCCTTCCTCCTCCTCCTTCTCCCCTTCTCTTCCTCTTTTCTTCTGGGTTTTGGTTTTTCAAGATAGGGTTTCTCTGTGTAACCCTGGCCTCAAACCCAGAGATCTGCCTGCCTCTGCCTTCTGAGTGCTGGAATTAAAGATATGAGCCACCACATATGCATGACACAGTATGATATACCCTAATAACCATATTGTGTCAAGTATTTCCTACATTTTGAGGAAAATTACTTGAGCATCCTTTAAGTATTATGAAACATTCTCAAAATATGATTGCTTTTTTTTCTTGAGAATCATATATAATGGCTGGTTTTAATTATCAACTTGATACAACATAGAATCACCCAAAAAGAGAGTGTCAGTGAAGGATGTCTCCACCAGGTTGACCTGTGGGCATGTGTGTGGTGAGTTGTCTTAATTACCTTGTGGGAAGACCCAGGCTGAGAGTGAATAGCATCCTTCCATGAGTTTGGCACTGCACTGTAGAAGAGCAGAGAAAGCTAGCTGAGCAGTAGCCATGCATGTATTTACTCCTTTCTGCTCTTAGTTATGGCTGTGATGTGACTGGTTGCTTCAAGTTTCTGCCTTGCACAATGGAATGTAAGGCAGACAAACCCTCTTCTCCCCTCAGTTGCTTTTCTGTCAGATTTTTAAAAAATCATGACAACAGGAAGAAAACGAGGACACCCATCGAGATTCATTTTAAAAAGTCTTATTTATTTTTATTTTCTGTGAATGTGTCTTCTACCTGCATGTGTGTATGTGTACCATGTACATGCCTGGTGCCCAAAGAATTCAAAAGAGGTCATCAGATCCCATGGAACTGGAGTTGCAGATGGTCCTGAGCTACCTTTCAGGTGTTAGGAATCAAATCTGGGTCTTTAAATAGCAGCAAATGTTCTTAACCACTGAGCCATCTCTCCAGCCCCATCAAGACCCAAATAAATGGGATAGCTATAATCTTTAAACGTGTCTCATAGGACTCTTTACTCTTTCTATTAAGATGTTATTATAAAACTTCCTAGAAACATCTAGTTCATTCCACCTACAGACTCATTTTTGTTTCTCTGTCCTTGTTCTGATGTACACCATGGCAGTAGTCATTACTGTCTGTCCATATTGAATTCCCAAATCCTCAAGATGGTATTCGAGACTGTGTGCTCACTGCCGAGGTATATAAATGTACAAGATGCCATTTGGTGGAAAGATGAGTTTGTGGGTTCCAGTCTTACACCTCATAAACACTGTTCTCTGGATTTGGGGTAGAGGAAGGGCTACTACCCTCACCTCTTGGCCAGTAACTCAACCTTTGATTCTGTTAATGAGTATGTTTGCTTATCGATGTTAAGTTTTGAGTTTCATCTTTTTTTCCTACCCTTCCTAAGTATCTGAAATTATCATTTATGAAATTGTCACATTTATTTACTCCCAACAACAAATGGTGGTTATAGTAGCAAAAGCCTAGACTTGAACTCAAAATATATCTGTGACAGATGACTTTTTTTGTCCTCTTTCCCAGTTATTTCACTGTTTATTAGAAATATCAACTGTCTGAGGCCTACAATAACATTCTAGTGTTGTTTAAGTAGTTACCCTTAGATATACAGAATGCAACAAGCCCACCAATGGGGGAATTCTGGCTTGAACTTTGAATTTATGCGATCAGAAAACTTTCAAGTTTACTCAGGTGTCTTTGGCTTCAGTCACCAGCCATCTTTATACACACTGGAAATTCCAAGTAGTTGGAGCCAATACAATCTATCTGAGGATAAATTTTATTTTGATCTTCATTTATAAACAAGATTATTATTATTTTTTGGTAATTTTCTCAAATTATTTTTATTTGACAACATCTACAACCATGAAAGGGATTATTTCCTTTCCAATTATCACATAAGCCTTTTAGAGACAAGAAGCAGTGAGATCAACTATTGTAATCAATAGAACCACACCTAAATCTGCCTTATTGAAAAGCTGTACTTCTTATAACTGTGCACTTTAGGTTTAGTGAATTCTAGTTTCTCTGCATCATATTTTATTTTTAACTTAAAAAAAAACTTCTTGGAGACTTAAAGTTGACAGAATAAGCTTATCTGTAATATAAATTTTCTATTAACTTTTTTTTATTGAGCTCTACATTTTTCTCTGCTCCCCTCCCTGCCTTTCCCATTTCCCCTTCAAACCTCCCCCAAGGTCCCCATGCTCCCAATTTACTCAGGAGATCTTGTCTTTTTTTATTTCCCATGTAGATGAGATCTATGTAAGTCTCTCTTAGTGTCCTCATTGTTGCCTTAGTTCTCTGGGATTGTGGTTTGTAGGCTGTTTTTTTTTCTGTTTTCTGTTTAAAAACCACCTATGAGTGAGTACGTGTGATAACTGTCTTTCTGTGTCTGGGTTACCTCACAATGATGTTTTCTATCTCCATCCATTTTCCTGCAAAATTCAAGATGTCGTTTTTTTTTTGTATTTTTTTTCGATTGTGTAGTACTCCATTGTGTAAATGTACCACATTTTCCTTATCCATTCTTCAGTCGAGGGATATTTAGATTGTTTCTAGGTTCTGGCTATGACAAACAAAGCTGCTATAAGCATAGTTGAGCACATGTCCTTGTGGCATGATTGAGCATCCTTTGGATATATACCCAAAAGTGGTATTACTAGGTCTTGAGGAAGATTGTTTCCTAATTTTCTGAGAAATCGTTACACTGACATCCAAAGGGGCTGCACCAGCTTGCACTCCCACCAGCAATGCAGGAGTGTTCCCTTTACCCCACAACCTCTCCAACATAAGTTGTCATCAGTGTTTTTGATTTTGGCCATTCTTACAGGTGTAAGATGGAATCTCAGAGTTGTTTTGATTTGCATTTCTCTGATGACTAAGGATGTTGAGCATTACCTTAAGTGTCTTTCAGCCATTTTAGATTCCTCTGTTGAGAGTTCTCTGTTTAGGTCTGTACTCCATTTTTTTTTATTGAATTATGTGATCTTTTGGTGTCCAATTTCTTGAGTTCTTTGTATATTTTGGAGATCAGACTTTTCCCATTCTGTAGGCTGTCATTTTTTCTTGTTGACCATGTCCTTTGCTTTACAGAAGCTTTTCAGTTTCAGGAGGTCCCTTTATTAATTGTTTCTCTCAGTGTCTGTGCTGTTGGGGTTATATTAAGGAAGTGGTCTCCTGTGCCAATGTGTTCAAGTGTACTTCCCACTTTCTCTTCTATAAGGTTCAGTGTGGCTGGCTTTATGTTGAGGTCTTTGATCCATTTGGACTTGAGTTTTGTGCATGGTGATAGATATAGGTCTATTTTCATTCTTCTACATGTTGATATCCAGTTATGCCATCACCATTTGTTAAATATGCTTTCTTTTTCTCATTTGATATTTTTTGCTTCTTTGTCAAAAATCAGGTGTTCGAAGGTGTGTGGATTAATATCCAGGTCTTTTATTCAGTCCCATTGGTCCTCCTGTCTATAAACAAGATTATTATTACCTCTAGAAGGTCACTCCTCTTGGGATTTTGAACTTTATTCCAAATAAATTTGCTCTAGCTAGATCATGAAATTTAAACACTGGTTTGCAGTTCTAATAAAACAAATAAGTGGTAGAAATTTAAACGAGAGAGAGAGAGAGAGAGAGAGAGAGAGAGAGAGAGAGAGATTCTTTTTGATTCTTTTCTTTTAAGGATCTTAGAAGAGATGCAATCAAAGTATTGTTTCTGATTGGCTGGTTTTTTATTTTTATTTTTGAGATCATACAATAATTACATCATTTCTCCTTTCTTTTCTTCCCCCTCTCCAAATCCTCCCATGCTCACCCCCACCTTGCTCTCTTTCAGATTCATGGCCTCATTTTCTTTAATTGTTGTTTTACACACACACACACACGTGTATGCTTGTGTAATTTCTATAATGACCAGCTTTTGAGTATCAGAGCTTTTGAATTACTCTCTGAAGAAAAGGGTAGGAATATATACACACACACATATATGCACAGATACATATAAAGATGGTTAAAAGGAACTTTTATGATATGTATTTTGTCACACAAGAAATTATTTATAAAAAGAAAGGCTATTTGGGCTGGGATACAGCTCTGTTGGCAGAGTGTTTTTCTAGTGTGCACAAAACCCTGAGTTCTAGCACTCCATAAACCTTACATAGTGATACACGTCTGTGATCTCTGTACTCAGGAGGTAAATATAGCAGAATCAGGAGTTCATGGTCATTCTCAGTTCTTAGTGAGTTTGAGGACAACTTGGGATACATGGGACCCCATCTCAAAAAAAACAAAAACAAAAACAAAAACAAAAATGGGGTTGGAATACAAGTATTTATTGAGGCTCTTAACCAAATAAAGCTTCTCCTCCTGACCATATTAGATGGGCACCGTCTTAGGATTCATGTTGATTGACATTAATATACATTGCGGCAGTTTTTAAGTATTCATACTTAATGATTCTTGAAGACTTGTTTACATCAATGGTCTGAGTAATGGAGCCCCATATCTGTCCAATGGTCACACTCATGCCATGGACTTTAGTTTCTGTGGTCAGCTTGGCTCCTTGAAGGTCTTAGGTAGATGGGAGTCCAGTTGGCTCATGGGCACCTCCGTGGAAATGCCTCTCAGCCGAGAACCTGCAAAGCTTTCACAGGTGTGCCTCTGTTTTCTCCAAACAGTATTCAGCTACAACACAGGCTCCCAGGAGACGTGTGCCAACAATAGACACCAGTGCTCCGTGCATGCAGAGTGCAGAGACTATGCTACTGGTTTCTGCTGCAGGTGCGTGGCCAACTACACGGGCAACGGCAGGCAGTGTGTGGCAGAAGGTAATGTACTTTTCCTCTGCATTTTCAGCTTCGGGGAAAAGGAAAAGGAGTTCCTTTTGGGTCTTGGTGCTTGTTTATAGACATGGCCTTTGCCCTCATCTCTGGAATATGCAGTTTTAGATGCCGTTTTTAATGATATCATCTCGGTTACATTCTCTGATGACCATTCCTCCCAGGATGTCCTTTTTGTTTTCTGGTGTGGCAGATTACCTTGTTCCCCTGTAGTCCTTCCCCATTTCTGAGGTGACACCCACCAGGAGTCTCTTTTCACAGCTGTCCCCTGACTGCTGCACAAAGAGCCAAGAGTTGAAATGGCGCAGCCAGGACCTGGAGGCATCCTCCCTCATTTTCCTTAACCCAGAGCTTTGCCTTTGGAGTCTTCTCAGTTGTTTTTTTTTACTTTTGAGACAGAATCTTGCCGCATAGCCTGGGATGACCTCAGACTTGAGATTCTCCACATGTAGAGTGCTGAGGCTCCAGTGTGTACCCCAACTTGGCTTCAGTCTCTAGCTGAGTGTATTGCTTGTAGATCTCTCGCTCTCTCCCTCCCTCCTTCCCCACCTTTCTTCTGCATGCCCTTGGAACAGCAGCATGCCTGAGGTAAGGCTGATGGGGTGGTGTCCTCAGTTCTGGCTTGTCAAACCCAGTGCATGTCCAGCTTCAAAGTGGATTCCATGATAACTGAGGTCAACACTGACCTCTGTCCCCAAAGGGGATAGACTAGTCACAGGAATCTTCAGTGCAAGTCTAAGGATCCTCGTTACAGTCTACAGTCATTACTTTGGAGGCTATAAATTAGCGTGAAAATAAACACAGTATTTGGCCTTTGTCCCTTCAGATACCATGTCTCCCGCCTACCTTCACAAGCACTTAGTGGGGAGTTTCAGTTGCCTTGTGAACTCTGACCAGTTAAAATATAACTGGAGTCGGTGTGCTGTTTTCCAGACTCTGTGTCATAGCTATCCTGACATCAGTTGTTTTAATTTGCCACACACACCAAAATTGTTTCCTTCTGGGTCATTAAGTAAAGCGAGGTTTGTTTTACTTTCATCGATCTTCAGCAATGCACCAACATGCGGTTTAGCTGGCATATTCATCTGGGAGGATGTTTTAAAGTTGTTTTCTATTTTCTTCCAAGCCCTGTCACCCCAGGGGTGGGATGCTTTGGAGGATTTGTTCTAGGTTTGACTTTTATACCTTTTCACCCTAGGAGAAGGTTCCCAAATCTACATGCATGTGTATTTCCTCGCTCCTTTCTTTCCTTCCTTCCTAAATCTCTGGGTGCTGGGTATTGAACCCAGTCCTTGTGTTTCCCAGGCAAGCACTACCAACTGGACCATTTCCTCAGCCCAAAAGCATATCTTAAAGGGCCACCTTATTAGCTTCCTACCCCCAATATCAGAACTAAAAATGCTGGGCAAACTTTGGCGTTGAACTCAGGTATAACAAACTGTTCGGCCACACATTTGGACATGAGCACATCCTGTAATTGCTTTGTGGTTTAAATATTTGTTGGATTCTTCCTACTTAAAAAAAAAAAACAACAGTATAATCTTCAGACAGGCATGGTAGCTCATGCCTATAGTCCTAACATTCAGGAGACGTGGGCAGAGAGATTGCTGTAAGTTTGAGACTAACCCAGGCTACAGGGTGAGTTCTAGGCCAGCTACAGAGTAAGAGAGATCTCGCCTAAAAGCTCAGGCGGGGATAAAGCTAGCAGAGACTGGCGGAAGCGATTTTATTTGGCTTCCTTAACTTGGCTTCCTTCCTTGTTTCTGTAATGTTCTTGAAGTGCATTTTTTTAGCATTAGCTTGCAAGGGTCACAGCTTCCCCAGTGTAATGACACAATGGGTGTACAGAGTTACTGTGTGTCAGATGTGTCCTGGCTGGTCTGTTACTCCGAGCACAGATGACCTCCCCGCCAGGAACAAGTCCGTGGGAGGAGGGGGTAGAGACAATGTTCCTGATCATTCCTAGTCTAGGAAAAGACAGTTGCTACCAGAGGGCCGGGGTGGAGTTCAGGGGCAACGGCCTCATTTGATCTCATGTGCCAAAAGAAAAAGGAAAAACCTTCAAAGAATTTAATTCTACATCACATTTCAGCACTGCAAGGTGACCTTTGACTTGCATCTTCCTTTAGTTTTTGTTCTTATTTTGCAGTATAATTCATGTGCCTCTATGTGTGTGTGTGTGTGTGTGTGTGTGTGCATGCGCATGTGTGTATGTGTGCGTATGTGGGTGTAGTGTTAGTGTGTGTACACTAGTGGATGTAGTAGCAGAGGTCAGTATCAGGTGTATCGCCTTACTTTTTTGAGACGGGATCTCTCACTGAACCTCAGGCTCACCAGCTGACTTGTCTAGCTGACCAGCAAGCCCTAAGGATCCTCTTGTCCTTCCCTCTCCATCCTAGTGCTGAGGTTACAAGTATACATTGCCACACCAAGCTTTTTTTTATGATTTATTTATTTATTATGTATACAGTGTTCTGCCTGCATGTATGCCTGCACACATCATTACAGATGGTTGTGAGCCACTATGTGGTTGCTGGGAATCGAACTCAGGACTTCTGGAAGAGCAGTTCAGTACTCTTAACCTCTGAGCCATCTCCCCAGCCCAACCACCCCTGGCATTTTAGATGGGTGCTAGTCTCTGAACTCAGATCCTTATGCCTGTGAAGTGTGGGGCTTCCTAATGCCTGTGATCCACAATTATTGGTATCCATTATCGGTAACATGGGAGAAAGGGGAGGGGCAGGGATCCCTGAGGCTCCTTGTGCACAGTGGTGGGCACCTAACTTTCTGCCCATTAGTACCACATGCAACAGAGGCAGGAGCACTGGGATATCCAGGCTATGGCACACAATCACAGGTACAAGTATTTTACGGAAAGCATTTTCACAACACGGGGGTCTGCATCACCATCCACCCGGTATGGACCGCGACTCCATACCTTCCACGAGTTGGGTAAGGTCCTAGGGGTTAAAAAACAGAGACAACACACACATACAGAGAGTTCGAGTCATCCTCAAGAGGAGAATGCCCAATTTTATTTAATTGTATGGGGGTTAATATACCCTTTTGCCCCAGTAAAGGAAACTCCTCCCAGCCAGAGGGGGATGGGGAAGTTGGCGCCGAGTGAGAGCTTCTCCACAGGCAGGTGGGCTTGAGTTGCGGAGCGGTGTCAGACAGGGTAGAGGGACCTGGTGCCTGGTCTCTCCCGGGCAGGTTGGGAAATTGCCATTTCAAGGTTTAACAAAGCCTACAGCTGAAACACCAGGCTAAGAGCATAGCTAGCACAGAACTAGCAGGAAGCTTAGCTGGTTGCCCAAACAGTCCTTGATTTGCATCCCAAGGGAGCAAGGGAAGACATGGGCCTACAGTATTTATTTTCCCAAAAGCCATCTCCTGCAACAATGTCACCTCCTTGCTTCCCTAAAGAACAGACACATTCTTCTCTTTGGAAGGTAGGGGAAAGCCATCTTCACCTTCTCCCTTTGTTTCTGACCCAGGCTCCCCACAACGGGTCAACGGCAAGGTGAAGGGAAGGATCTTCGTGGGCGACAGCCAGGTCCCGGTGGTGTTTGAGAACACTGACCTACACTCCTACGTGGTAATGAACCATGGACGCTCTTACACAGCCATCAGCACCATTCCTGAGACTGTCGGGTATTCTCTTCTTCCTCTGGCACCCATCGGGGGCATCATCGGATGGATGTTTGCAGTGGAGCAGAATGGGTTCAAGAACGGCTTCAGCATCACTGGTAACTGATCCCCCAATTGAAATGAACGGACTATGTGAACATGGGGGAGGTCATAGAATAAATGGGTTTGGAACTCTATCTGTAGGCACCTTCTGGAAGTATTTCCTCTGTGGACAACAGAGGCCTTTTCCTCAGAAATAAGGACATGGCAAAATTCATGTATAGTGTATTCATTAAGGGAGGCCATCTACAATTGTGTTTTGACGGAGGAATGGTTTCTGGATGGGAGTTTCGAAGTCTTCCATATTTGGTGCTGAGAAGATGGCGCAGCCAGTAAAGTGCTTACCTTGCAAGTATGAGGACATGTGTCCTGTGTCCATTGCCTCGAACCCACATAAAAAGCCAGCTATGGTGGCATGTGCTTGTTAACACCACACTAGGGAGACTGAGACAAGATCCCTGGGACTCACTGGTCAAACAACTCCAGATCCCAGTGATCTGTGTTTTTGAGACAGATCTCATACTCTGTCTCAAATAAACAAAGACGATTTAAAAAAAGAAATATCCAAGGCAAACCTCTGGTCACCATATGTACCCATACACACAGGTATATCCCACACCCACAAACATGCACACACCCTGTGTACAAAGGTTTACATGCACAAATCCAATCATGCCCACACATCTGAACACACAACAATCTGGCATAGACATAGAAAAGTCTCCAAGGTGGAACAGCAGTTAGCAACTCATGCATCTCACCCATCTGAAAGTGGCATTTCATATCTCCATATCTGCTCATGGAAAAGAGCCTGACACTTCTGGCTGGTCAGTCCAGCCTGATCAACGCCATTCTCTCGAGTGTTCGGAAACTTTGGAGACTCTCAAAGGCCTTACCCTGTGAGGAAGGTTGAGTCTCTCGCCTCTTTTCTTTCATGCCATGTGTGTGCCTTCACCTTCTCTTACTCCCCTCCCTCTCCCTTTAGGTCCTTTCTTCCCCTTTCTACTTTCATGTTTTACAGCAGGAGGGTTTACTTGCCAGGTGACAGAGTGACAGGCCTGTCTTGCTTTCCAGGGGGTGAGTTCACCCGCCAAGCTGAGGTGACCTTCCTGGGACACCCAGGCAAGCTGGTCCTGAAGCAGCAGTTCAGTGGTATTGACGAACATGGACATCTGACCATCAACACAGAGCTGGAGGGCCGAGTGCCACAGATCCGCTACGGCTCCTCAGTGCACATTGAGCCCTACACAGAGCTGTACCACTACTCCAGCTCAGGTGAGTCCCAGACTGCAAACTGATAGTTTGCGCGTGCCTGCCCACTCTGATGGCCTTGAGTATCTGGGGCAGCGTCCCTGGGGTCCACAAAGGGAAACAAGGCTATTCTTTATTTGAATTTCTTTCCCTTAAGTACAGACAGAAGACACATTTGAAGAGATTTACTACAAGAAAATAAGGTGTGTTGGGACACATCAATCATTCCTGCCCTTGAGAAGCCTGACCTAGAGGAATTGCTACAGCTCCAGGCCAGCTTGAGCTACATAGCAAAACAAAACAAAACAAAAAACAAAACACCCAGAAAAATGGGATGGGTTGTAGCTCAGGTGACTGAGGGCTTGTCTACACACACAGAGTGTCTGAGTTGGATCCCCAGCACCGTGTAGACTAGATCAGGTGGCGCCCTGTAGTCCTAGCTTTTGGGGAGTAGAGTCAGAAAGATTAGAAATTCAATGACGTCCTCAGTGAGTTTAAGGCTAGCCTGGGGCTACATGAGACTTTGTCTAAAAAGAGGAAACGCAGCAACAAAAAAGAACTCCAGGAAAAAAGCTTTGAGTACAACTTTCCGATTTAAACACTTTCAACCTTTTCTCATGTGTCTATCATCTGTGTTTTTGTCACATGCCCCCACTATTATATAATTCAAGATTTTGTTATAATGTATTTATTTGTAGTTTTTACACATTTTCGCCTTCTGGCATGTGTTTGCAGTTGAAAACAGTGACCGGAGCTTCTACCTGCCACTCAGCTTGCTTAGTTGCTATCATTTGGCACCGTGTTTTAACACACACACACTTCGTCCTAACTGTAGAGAAACAGTGTCCTTGTAGGTTATTTCCGAAGTGCTTCGGATATTTCTTTCCTAAGAATAAGGGCATTTTCTTACATGGCCACATCCTAACTATGAAAGAGGCGGTTATTTTTAAAGGGCTTTGTAGCCCTTACTTTGTCTCCAGCTAGAGGCCATCCTCTTGCCTCTGCCTCCCAAGCGCTGGGGTTGTAGACATGAGCTGCCAGCTCAGGCTCTGGGATCTTTAGCACAGAAAAGCACAGTATGTAATCTTGGGCACATCATTTTCATTAGCGCTGCCCATCAACTGTGCTACATTGTTATGTCTTTACCTTCTTATGCACACCAAATCATGAGTATTTGCTAGTTTCATTAAGTGACTTTGAAAGGCCTTTTTCAAGGAATCTGCCCCCATCCTTCTGGGTGGTCTCAGGATTGTAAATTGCAGGAGTTCCTCCCTCACGCTGAGTTAAAGCTGAGTTAAAATGACCTCTCCCGTTGGTGAACCTTGGCCACATTTCCCGTTGGTTGTTCTTTGCTTATGCTGCTGGGAACTGAACTGAGTGCCTCAGGCAGACTCCCCTGTGCTGAGCTACATCCCAAGCTCTTGGCCACATTTCTGACTTTTGCAATACTGGGAAGGAACACGGGGGCCTTGTGCATATGGGGCAAATGTCCTACCACTGAGCTACACCCTCCGTCCCTCATTTGTCTTCATAAAGTTTTAGGTGTTTTTGTTGGTGGTGGTTTGTTTGTTTTTTAGTACCTGTAAGTTGCCTAGACTGAACTTGAACTCGTGCTGTAGCTCAAGCAGGCCTTGAACTTGCAATCCCCCTGCCTCGGCTTCCCAAGTAGCTGGGATGACTATCAATCAGGCCTGCATTATCAGGCCTGGCTTTCTGACTCTTTTCTGAGACTCCGTTCCTAGAAACAGATGCTGAGTCAAATGACAGGAACGTTTCAAAAATGCTGCTGTTAAAGCTCCATCCAGGAAGGTTGGTACCCATGGCCAGGGCTGGGAGCCTATGGAAGGGAGGAGAGACAGCTAAGGGCCCCAGACTGCCTGCAGCCAGATGGCTTGCTGGCAGCCAGCATATGGGAGCTGGACGGGAGACAGCGCACACTGATCTTTTATTTATCCTCTGGCTTTCATGGTTCGCAGATGGAGCAGGCTGCAGCAGAACTCAGAAGTAAAAAGGGTTCTTTATGCTTTAAAATAAAAAAACAAAAGGGAGGTGGAGAGTTTTGTTGCATGGGCGAATTCCCTCCCTCTTCTGGGTGGGGAGCCTGTCTCCCCTCTCCTTGGCTGAGGTCGCTCTTGTAATTTTTCCAAAGTTGGCTGCTACAAAACATTCCATATTGCAACTTTTAATACCGCGAGACTATTTAATCTAAGGTGACTGGGGCAGCTACTATTTACCGATTCCTATGTGAGAGATTCCGTGGAAACCAGATCAAATGTCCCTGATGTAGTGTAAATGCTTGATTCCATGCAATTTACCAATGTGATCTTGTCAGACTCTCTCACCCTAGCTCCTTCTGAGAGAGAAGCTGAGGCAAAAACAGCTAGTACCAGTGGGTGGTTATAACCTCAGCTGGGAGGAGTCAGTCCACGTGTGCCTTTCTTCTGAGTGGCTGCTCTTTTGGCCAGACCTTATCTTTAGTTTTCAGTGACTTGGGAGCTGATAGAGAGCTTTGATACCATCAGCAAGGACTAAACATGAGTGTCCCCACAGATGCTGCGGGAGAGGAGAAAGCAGCAGGCATCCAAGCACATGTCTTACTTAAGTTGCCCCAGTGGACCTGTCAATCTGATATCCCTGTGGGCAGGGACTGCCACTGAAGCCCGCACAGGCTTTACTGAAACTCCTCAAATCTGTCTTCCTCCCACACCTCAGTGATCACTTCCTCCTCCACCCGGGAGTACACGGTGACTGAACCCGACCAGGACGGCGCTGCGCCCTCACACACACATGTTTACCAGTGGCGTCAGACCATCACCTTCCAGGAGTGTGTTCACGATGACTCCCGGCCAGCCCTGCCTAGCACCCAGCAGCTCTCCGTGGACAGTGTGTTTGTCCTGTACAACCGGGAGGAGAGGATCTTGCGCTACGCCCTCAGCAACTCCATCGGGCCTGTGAGGGGTAAGGCGGACGGGGCTCAGGCTGGCATCCCCTGTGTCCTCCCGCGCATGACTCTGCAGTCACACTTGCCAGAATCTCTGCTTCTTGGATTGGGGATTTTGGTCTCTTAACTCTCAGTCTGTAGAAGCAAATGGTGGTCAGGTGTCCTTTGAAAGCATAGTCAGTACTCTTGGCAAGCAGGCCTGCCTTCGTCCATTCAACCAAAGGCCTATTCATGGGGGTGTCTGGGCGATTTATTCCTGAGCTTTCAGGGCAGCAGGCCAACCAGCCAAAGGCTACTTCGGACTCTATTGAACACTTTTAAAAAACTCATTTTCACATTTTAAAGGACCATTAAAAACTGGTCATATTGTGAGATGTGAACTAAGTAATTTCACCAGGTGTATCCAGTGCGCAGCGCTTAGGTGAGGACAATGGCCATGTCAGCCCCAAGACGTGTATCATTTCTCAGTGTTGAGAACACTCAGATTCTTTACTAGCTGTTTGGGCATATGTAATTAATTGTTGTCAACTTTAGTTGCCCCACTGGTCTATGAAACACTAGACCTTATCCCGCCCATCCAGCTGCACCGTTGGACATGCCTACCGTCCTTTCCCCTTTTCCCCACTCCTCCATCCTTCCTCACCTCAGGTAGCCATTATCATTCTGGCTTCTGTGAAATTAACCTTTTTAGCTCTCATACATAAGACTGGGCAGTACTGGTCTTTCTGGGTCTGACTTATTTCACTCAGCATAATGACTTCAAGGCTCAACCATGTAGTCACATTCAAAGGATGTCCTTTCTTTCTATGGCTAAATAGTATTCTACAGTGTTATCTGTATTAGTTACCTTTCTGTTTTTTTGGTAAAATACCAGGAACCAGAGTCAACTTCCGAAATAAAGAGTTGATTTGACCTCAGGATTCCAGAGGGGTACTCCATAACGGCGGCGTAGGCATAGCCATGGGTGGCTGGAGCGCAGCTGAGAGACTCCATATTTAAAATGGGTCTGGTTGTAGTTGGTTTTTGGTCTTAGCCAGCCACAGACACCTCACTTTCTGCCATAGTCTCACAAAGGTGTGAGACTTGTTGTCAGTGACACTATTTATAGACACAGAGAGCGAGGCCACACAGAGGGGTAGAGCTTGGTGGTCCCTCCCGCAGTGCAGCGTGCAAGGCTGTGCTCTCTGTGGTAGCGGCTTACTTCCTGCGACGGGAGGGCCGCGGGAAGGTTCTTGAACACTGTCTCTCTACCTTCACAGAGGGCTCTCCTGATGCGCTTCAGAACCCATGCTACATCGGCACTCATGGGTGCGACAGCAACGCAGCCTGTCGCCCTGGCCCTGGAACACAGTTCACCTGCGAATGCTCCATTGGCTTCCGAGGAGACGGGCAGACGTGCTATGGTATTACTTTTTGTTCTGATGGGTGGGGTGATATCAGGCTGGGAGGAGGCACAGGAAGCTGAGCGTATGTCACAGGAGTGAGTGTGTTGAACATGTGCTATACAAACATACCATGAAATAAAGGCATACCATGCCTGGACTGTATATGTTACCCTCTTGGTGAAACAACAAAGTTCCTTGTTTTGCTTTTGTTTCTGTTGTAAAACAGGTAGGGTTTCCTTGAGAATCCCAGGCTGGCCTCAAACTCAAGACGGCCCAGCCTCTGCCTACCAAGTGGTGGAATTATAGGTGTACACTGCCTGGCTGTTCTAAACTACTGTTAAGTGTGTAGTTCAGTGTTATTAAACACACTCATCCCGTTGTGAGGTTGTCACAGCATTCTTTTCTAGGAGACTTTTCATCTTGTATAACAAATTGTGTTCATGGCTGTTAGACTACAGCTCCTGGTACCATGTTTCAAGTCCTCATCCCCAACTCTTGTCTCCCACCATTCAGTGTTATGTTTCTACAAAACTATTGGCTCTAGAATCTTACATATGTGGAATAACACAGCCTTTATTCCTTTGTTACTGGCTTGTTTTGCTCAAGATTCACGACTGTGTATGCAAATGTCTCCTTAATATTCACCTATGTCATGTGTTACAGAATCTTTCTTTCCTGGAAGGTTGAACACTATTATTACATTACTGTAGAAGGGAGGGCCGTTTGTTTGTCCTGGCAACCCGGCTAGCTTAGCCCCGAAATAACGACACAGATATTGTATTAATTAAATCACTGCTTGGCCCATTAGTTCTAGCTTCTTATTGGCTAACTCTTACATGTTAGTTTAACCCATCTCCATTAATCTGTATATTGCCACGTGGCAGTGGCTTACCAGCAAAGATTCGGCATGTCTGACTCTGGCGGCTCCATGGCATCTCTTTGACTCTACCTTTTTCCTCCCAGCATTGAGTTTCATCCGCCTACCTAAGTTCTGCTCTATCAACAGGCCAAGGCAGTTTTTTTATTCATTAATGGTAATCACAGCACACAAAGGGAACTCACACATCACATTATGCTGTGTCCTGCATGATACTTTTTGCTTTTCTATCCTTTCAGAGGAAGGGAGCACCTTCCTTCAGAAGGCAGAGCCAGCTCCACTTTGCAGAACCTGCTGGCAGGTCCCCTGTGAGTGGACACACTACACCTACCTTTTGACTGCTGGGTTCAGTGGTGTGATGAACAGGGCCTCTGTTGGAAGCTTTTGCTTTCAGTTTTTTGCTTTTTATTTTGTTTTGTTTTGCTTTGCTTTTGTTTTTATATAACCCCCAAAGTAAGTCTGGTGGGTTATTCTGGTTGACTTTTTGGAGGGCCCTTCATGCTGTTTTTCTATAACAGCTGCACCATTTTGTATTTCTACCTACAGTGTGCAGGAGTTTCCATTTTCTCCGTTTTTTTTTTTTTTTTGTATAAACACACGTACAAATAGAGGTTACTGTTTGTGTATAAAGGCAGAGGGCATCTTAGGTGTCATTCATTAGGAACTCTGTCTACTTCTTTTGAAACAGGGTCTCTTATTGGCCTGGAGCATATCAATTATACTACAAGTCCCAGGGGTGTAGGTGGAGTTTTCCTGTCCCAGGAGTGGCTTCCAAATTACCCCACAGAGATTTCTGTTAATTGTAAATGTTCAACCAATAGCTCAGGCTTGTTACTAACTAGCTCTTACAATTTAACCCATTTCTATTAATCTGTATGTTACCCTGAGACTCATGTCTGACCCACTCTTCATCTGGCTAGAGACTCCACTGACTTCATCCTTCCTCAGCCCATCATTCTCAGTTTGGCTTTCCCACCTAACTTTATCCTGTTCAGCTATTGGCCAGTCAGCTTGTTTGTTAAACCAGTCACAGTGACACATATTCACACAGTGTACAGAAGGATTATCGCACAGCACAGGGATCCTGTCTCTGCATCTCCAGTGCTGGGATTACAAGGGTGTGCCTCGATGGCCCCCTTTCTGTGTGGGCTCTAGGGATGCCACTCGGGTCCTCAAGCTGGCGTGGCAAATGCTTTGCTGACTACTTTGGTTCCCCAGCTCCAATTTGTCTGTAACTTTGTCAGCATTTGCTGTTTCTATTGCTTTTTCTTTAATTAATGCGAGCTCATGAAAGTGAGCCAGTGAGTAACTCAAGTCTCTTACTGGAGCATCTGTAGTGCACTGCCTTCTGGCGTCATTTGTTTTATAACTCAAAATTTAGCTTCAAAGACTTTCATGTAGACAGCTTGATATTTGTTGGTAACTGAATTTTAATCTATTACCAAAGAACAGCTTGTCCATCGCTCAGGGCAAGAGCGTCAGACGCTTTAGCCAGTGCCACTAAAGTCTGCAGTGAGGTACTCACTAATGAGGGGAGGAACAGTAGATGTAAGTTTCCCTGGCAAGTGAGGGGTGTGCTCACAAATATCCACCCAGCAAAATGGGCAGCTGTCTTCACCCTTGCATCATTAGGCAACAAGCCCTGGAAAACCAAAGCTTGGGATTTGGGAATCCTATCTTGCTATTAAGAGGTAGATCTGGTGTGTAGATTCTGATGTAAGGCATGGTGTGTGTTGGAGGGCATTTGCTTTGGAATGACCCTTCCCTGCAGGATGCTTGCTCCTGGTACCCTGAAACACTGTCAAGGAGGGTTTTGTGCTTCCATACTGGTGATGTGAAGGTTTGGGTGGTATGCTGATGACTTTGTGTATCTGGCACTATTCAGTCTGATACTCACCTACCAGGTCATAGAGCATGGTAGAGGGGACACAGAACTGACCAGCGTGTGATTGTCAGTGACCAGTCCTTCCCCATCACGAATGGCTACTTTGGTACAGGACAGTTCCAAACAGCACAGTGCTATTGTATGAGAGTGGAACCCTGTCATGAAGGTGATAGTCGGGGTTGGGGGCGTGGTGGGGATGAGGGATTCCTTTAGGTCTCCATCCCTTTTTAGTCTGTATATAATGTCACCAGCCACCTACACGTTGATGAAGCATGGTTTATTTGTTGCTTTTCTTGTTGCTGTGGTGAAATACCTGATAAGTAACTTAAGGAAGGACAGGTTTATTTTTTATTTATTTTTATTTTATTGTTTTGTTTTGTTTTGTTTTGTTATTCGAGACAGGGTTTCTTTGTGTAGCTTTGGTGCCTGTCCTGTAACTAGATCTGGTAGACCAGGCTGGCCTCAAACTCACAGAGATCTGCCTGCTTCTGCCTCCAAAGTGCTGGGATTAAAGGTGTATGCCACCACTGCCCAGCTGGATAGGTTCATTTTTGGCTCATGATCTGAAGGTGCAATCTATCATGTCTGGAAAGGCATGGCAGGAGTTTGAGGCAGCTGCTCACATTGGTGTCAATAAGCAGAGAAAGAGAGAGAGAGAGAGAGAGAGAGAGAGAGAGAGATTCCGGTTCTTAGCTAGCTTTCTCCTTTTATTCAGTCCAGGCCCCCAGCGCACGGGATGGTGCTGTGGATAGTTAGAATAAGTCTGCCCACTTCGATGAACCCAGTCTAGTGGAGTCTGCTGCTGCTCACTGTGAGCCTTCTCACGCTGCTCTTGGTATCTGAGCTTGTCCCAGGGAGTGCTCCTCTTCAGAGACACCCCAACCCTGCGCTTTATACGCTCTGCAGTTTGTCCCCAGAAATCCTTGGCCAGTCTTGTTCTGGAAGACTGGTGGCCATGCATGCACTTGCTTTTGTCCTTGGTCGGTCATCATTCTGGAGTATTAGCCTGGTGGAATGTGGGGATCTCCTGAGTCAGGCTCCCTATTGTTCTGAGTTAGCAGAACAAGCCTCAGTGTTAATGCATCTGGACAGGAGGCTTTTGATAGGAACCTGCACCAAGCATCCAGCTTTTGCATTGTTTTAACCTGGGGAGGCGTTTGAGAGGGGAACTAGGGTGAACCTCTGTGATTTAAGTCTGGGGTGGGATAGGATGGTCAAAGATATGCGAGGCAAGGTTGGTTTTGGCTACTGTCTCCCAGTGAGCCTCCCCGGGTAATCAGGAAGAGATTTTCAGAGAATCTCAGAGCTTAGCTATTCACCAGGGGCTCACAGCACAATGGCACCCACATACCCCTTAAACTATAACCTAGAGTAGCAGTCCCTGGGGCTCACAGCACAATGGCACCCATGTACCCCGTAAACTGTCATCTAGAGTAGCAGTGTCAGTTAGCATCTCAGTGAATAATTTCTGAGTTTCTAGGAAGCATCACACATATCAGTAGCCTCCCCAAAGGGCCTGGCATTTATAAAAGAAGTAAATTGCAGAGACACTGAAAATGTACCAAAGCTAGTCACTTTGGGGGGAGAGGGCAAGGGTCAAAGGATTAATCTAGGACTGATGAGGTGGCTCCTGCAGAAGCCTGACAACCCAAGTTCAAGTCCTAGAACCAACATTAAAATCTGGATATGGTGGTGTGCAGGTGTCCAGGTGTACACCTGTAATCCCAAGCCTCCTATGGCAAGATGGGAGGGAGACACAGACAGGAGAGCCTCCAGGAAGCCCTAGAGCAGGCTAGGTTGGAGAAACGACAGAGAGACCCCTTTTTAACTGATTCCCCAAAGCTGTCCTCTGAAATTCACATGCATGCAGTGGCATGTATACACGCTCATTCATACATAAATACCACACAGCAACAATAGTCCTAAAAAGTAATTCCAAGCTGAGTGTGTAGAACAAACCTGTGAGCCCAGCATCCAGTACTGGAAGCAAGAGGATTGTGAGTTTGAGGCCAGCCTGGGCCACATGAAGAATACCTAACAAAACCCACCACCACCACCACCACTAACAAAAACTTTTTCTAAAAAATAAAAATGAATAATCCATGACTTTCCTATCAGGCTAAAAAAGGGTTCTCCTCTTTTCAGAGAGGAAGTTGGCCAGGTGTTGAAAATCCTCTTTAAGCCAGTGTTGTGGGGTGCTATGACAGACGGTCACCATGGTTGACAGGTTACTATTTCCATTAAAGAAAGGGTTAAGGACTTGGATGCAGCTAACAGGAGATTTCAATCACACATGGAAAATTTATAAACTGCAAAGACCATGGGCTCTTAGTGGGGACCCTGCCAGTGTCTTGCCCCTAAAGAAACAGAGTGTCCAACCTGACTTATCCTTACAGACCTGGTAACATGAAGCTGTCTTCTCCGACCCACGACGGCTGGTTTCTGTCGCCTGCTGTGGCCTCTGCAGCTCTTGCACAACATACCGTCCCTCTCTGTAAATGTTCCCAGCAAGGAAGGGGCTTGGACAAGGTCCCATTGTGACTTGGCCCTGGCTTTTAGATGGAAAACTGCTGTTCTGCTCTGACGCTTTGTTGGGCCTGGACCTTCAGAATGCAGCCCAGCATAGGAGTCCAGCCCCCTGCTGTGAAAGTTCTGGAAGCAGTGTGGAGAGTACAGGTGGCAGGCATGAGAGACTGTGCTCTGTGCTGGAGGAGCAGCAGCTGGCTGATGGACTTATGTGACCCCCACCTCAATCCCAGTTCCAACGCAAGCTGTTCTCTGCCCTTCCAGCCGTTCCTAGCAGGGTCCACTTGTCTGAGATCCTGAATCTTACACCATGCACACACACATGCACGCACGCACACACACACGTGCGCGCGCACACACACACACACACACACATTAAAATAGTTAAATTGCCTTGGTTTTCTGAAGATATGGGGCAAACTACAGAGCTAATGTTGCAAAATGCTTGTTTTATGCAACGTTGTCCAGTAAGTCAGTCAACTTTTTTTTAATGAGAAAGGAATGATAGCTATCCATCCAAAGGTGCTTTGCCTTTTGGGTATGAACAGTTCACATTGGGAAACTTGAAAAGAAAGAGGGTCAAATAGTCCCAGCCATTATAAAAACCCTTTGCACTCCTACCTCAGAAAAGACTATAGACCCTCTGAGTAGGGAACCAGTACAGAAAGTACCTTATGTGACTACATTCCAACCTGTTATTGGACTGATAGAGTAATCAGGAGTCAGGCCAACTGACCATGTACCACTGGTATCCATAGATAGCCTCCAAAGTCTGGTGACCATCTGAAAACGGTCTTCTCAAAATAAACTAGGGTTATAGAATAGATGACTGATGATTATATATCCATGTCTTGAATGGGCTGAATACTCCCATAACCCATATTCATTTTCTCCAATTCCCAAAAGAATGTACCAGTGAATACTATTATATTTACTTACTAATTGGGAAACTGAGACTGAGTAGTTAACCTGCCCAGGCAACACAAGTCAGTAACAAAAGGAGACAGGATTTGAACCTAGTACTGTTAAGTCACAGGCATAAGTTTTACCTCCTCATTACCCATGGTGATGACTGTGGTACTATCACATGAAAGGCCACCACTCTGCCATCTAAATGATCTAATAACTTCCCTTTGAGTCCATTAAATCCTAAGTAACATTAAAGAATTTTCAACTGGCTTTAAGTTGTCTGGCCTTTCTTTATAATCATAACTTAGAAGGGTAGTTTATTTTAAATATTTATTTATTTATAATCTGGGAACCAAACGCGGATCCTCTGTGAGAGCAGTCCTCTGTGTCTTCCGATGTGTTTTGCCTGTCCAGTATGAGTGACTTGTTTGGATGGGCGTCCATTTGGTTCCTCACTCAGAAAGAAGCACACATCACTTAGAAAAAACGAACCAAGGGTTGCGCTCTACATTATATAAAGGACAACAAAACAGTCTCTATTTCACATTTCTTTGGGCATGTAAGAAAATACATCTTTAAATGGCTCTCTTCTCTACGGAAAATGCTTTCTGTTTGATTATTTTTTATGAGGTTTAATTAAGTTTGAAATTTTATCAACAATTTGCAACAGATATTGACGAATGTTCAGAGCAACCTTCCCGGTGCGGGAACCATGCAATCTGCAACAATTACCCAGGAGCCTACCGTTGTGAGTGCGTGGAGGGTTACCACTTTTCGGATGGGGGCATCTGCGTAGGTAAGTTCTGCGAGGAATCTTCCTGGGGTGGCCAGCTCCATGGGAAAGGCGTGGTTGTGGGTTTGATCCTGGTGGGGAAGCAGATGTCAGTTTCTGCTGCTCGGTGTAGACCACAGTGGGGATGAGTCCTACCCTCCACCTGCTTAGGTGGTCACAGCTGCCAGGAGCAAATGTCATACATGCATACATTCTTGTCATACATGCACTAGTGCATGCAAGCAATGCATCCATTCACCCGCTGTAAACTTTCTGTCCCACTCGCTTCTTATGAGTTTATTTGGTTCGTTATCAGCATACATTTAGAGACTCGAAGCCGTTAGCCTTGGTTCCCTCTGTCATCAGCAGCCGTGGAATTCATGGTGAAGCACCTGCATGTGCTTAACTGCCTTAGCTTGAATTCTACCCGAGTTACGTCAGAAAGGAAATTCCGCTTGGCACCGTTCCATTTATAGTCCTAATTTAATAAGCCACAAGCAGAAGCCTAGCTTTTTAGACTTACTAAAGTACATCGATTTTTATCAATGGCTAATTATATTCTTGATTGATGTAGGTGACTGGCCCATGAAGAGCATAAGTTTTGATACGTTACCTTCCACTTCACATTGCCCTATTATATCTAAGATATTTTTTACTTTTTCTGAGGCTGGGTATCAGATATCATAGGCTGTCCTCAAACTCGCTGTGTAGTCGAGTGTGACCTTGAGCTTCTTACCGTCCCATCTCCACCTTCCTGAATACTGGGACTGTAGACATGTATCCACCAGGCCTGGTTTATTAGGACTTGGAATGGAACCCATGGCCCCACGCATGCTCAACAGATAGTCACCCTGGACTTATCCCCTACTCAAGTTCCAAGAATTGAAGCCGAAAGATTCACGGAGATTCCCAAGTCTACAGACTAATATGCTGAGTGGCACATGTGTGCCTGTCTGAGTTAAAGCAGAAACCAGTCATTGTCCTGTCCCCATGTGCTCTCTGGCTGTTTACTGTGACCCGAATGCATGCGTCCCTTTGCTCCATCTCAGAGCTTGGATGAGGAGCCAAGGTCTGGATGAGGTGGTGTCTGTAGGGCGGGAAGGAACAGGCAGTTCTCATGATTTGAGTGTGACCCAAACATCTGTGCACCCAAGAGGCCAGCCCTCTTTGTTGCACAGAGCTGAGATTTTTAGCTTGCTGTGTTGAAACATTTTTTTTTTCATCCTAGCAGAGAACATCAGTTTTCTTGGCCCGATTTTTTTTCTATGATTTTTGAGCTGGGGAGGTTCTAAAGTTTGCTTTTATTGCAGTACTATTGATGTCCCTGATTGGCTCAGTATGAGTGGTGGACTGGGAAGAGGTAGATCTCACTGTAGTCTAACCTGGGGTATATGTGGAGATGGCAGATTGGCCTGAGTCTGCCCATTCCCTAAGGCCACACTCACAAGGGCAGGGCAGAACAGAGCACAGGACAGAGGCTGTGTCCATGACTTCTCCCAGACTTCAGTTCTCAGCAAGATGCTCAACCTCCCAGGCCTTAGCTCTCCATCTTCAAAATGAGGTAATTGGACATGATCACTTCCTACGGCCTGTGGAGCCCTTGGAGGTGCCTTAAAGAGCTGCCTAGGAGGACATGGGAGCCACAGGCCAATCCTGGTCCTCTCTCCCGGCCCCAGTCTTCCATTTAACAATAGATCAAATTCTGCATAAAGCTGTTTGAATAATGGATTTCATTGCTCAAAAGTAAGCCAGACCTGGGGGTACTGATCTCTCATTATAGCTACTTGAGAGGATCAAGTTCAAGGCTTGCTTGGCCTACAGAGTAAATTCAAGGACAACCTGGGCTAGAGATGCAGTTCACTGGTAGAACACTTCAAGACCCTGAAGCCCTTGGTACAATGGTGTGGAACACGGTGCCTGAGAGGGGTAGTATGATCTGGACCCAGGCAGCGCCCAGACATGGTCCCCTTCTCAGAGTCCCACTGAGTCTAAGCTCTGTTGTTCAGAGCACTTGGGATCGTACCTCCCTTCTCTGAGACTCTCTTCCAAAGTCATGTGTTCATTTCTTTGTTCCTAAGCTGCGGTGGACCAGCGACCCATCAACTACTGTGAAACCGGTCTCCACAATTGTGATATCCCCCAGCGGGCCCAGTGCATCTATATGGGTGGCCCCTCCTACACCTGCTCCTGTCTGCCTGGCTTCTCTGGGGATGGCAGAGCCTGCCAAGGTATGTGGTAGCTCCGCAGGGTGTCCTGGGTGATATTTACTGTGTGCTAATCATCAGTACTCCCTATGTGTAAGGAGGATGTGTTCTTTCTGCTCGCTTGGGCAAGAGCCTTTTCTATCTTATCAGCAACTGGAACTGTGCCCTTTCTTGGAGGGTTGTTCTCATTTGGGACCTACTTGGCTTCCCCTGACCCCAAGGCTTGCTTCATTAGGCAGCAGTTAAGATAGTGCTCTTGGCTGGGAACTAAGGCTTGCTTGTTTTTTGAAAATAAAAGCAGTCCTTGCTTGCATGGAGCTTAACGTCCATCTTTGTATGTAACGGGTTTGCTCTTCCCAGCACAAGAAGTGAAGCTCCCCTTCTGAAGTCAGAGGAGAAATGACCTCATAGAATCTTCCCAGGCTTGGGACCAGCCCATAGTTAGCTGCCCGGGACCTCGGAATAGCAATTAGCAGAGTAACTCAAGGCACTTGGTTTGTAAAATTATGCAACATTATACTAAACTTAAGTTCAACAAAGATTTCTGAGATACCATGTCTCTGTTATGGACTATGTAATTTTCTCTTCTCTAAATACTTCAGAGTTCTAGAGGTTCATACTCACAATAAAGAGGGAACATCTGACAGGGCAAACTTTTCCCTTTGGTAAGCTCTGTGTTTCCTGAAGACATTATTGTCACATGAAACACATTTGTAAGTGTACTAGATAGGAGTTGGGGTGCGAATGTCTTAAAAATTAATATTTAATGAGTTTAAAGTCCCGGGACTCTAATTAAAACCAGATTCACATAGGTTTGTGTGCATGGATTAAATTATTCTATCAACTGCAAATTCTGGAAGCAATCTCACGGCCTGCGGCTGTCTTGCAGACGTGGATGAATGCCAGCTCAACCGATGTCACCCCGATGCCGTCTGCTACAACACGCCAGGATCCTTCACGTGCCAATGCAAACCTGGCTATCAGGGGGATGGCTTCCAGTGTGTGCCCGGAGGTGAGATGGGTGTTAGGAGTTGATGGCCCACTGACATGCTCATAAGATTTGATGACCTGGGAAGAAGGGGATGCGAGAAAATGGTCCATGGAAAGTTCTCAGAGTTCTGCGAGTAGAAAGTCAGACCACAGGCTTTAGTGCTGAAACACACAGTGTACAACTTCAGAGGATACTTCGCAGGGGTTGAAGCTATGCTGGAATTTTAGAGTGCATTGGTTCCTAGGTCCTGGAGCCAGCAGCGTAGGATACACACTGGGCATTGGGCTTTACTCACTAGGTGCTCTAGAGAAACAGAGTCAAGAGAATATGTGTGTATAAATGTGTATACACACACACACACACACACACACACACACACACTATTATAAGAAATTGAATCATGTCATTATGAAGACTGTCAAACCCCGGCATCTGTTTTCAGTAAGCAGGGAACCCAAAAAGCCAATAGCTGTTTGGTTAAAGTGTGGTGGTCGTAGAATCAGGAAAGCCCATGGTAGAGTTTCTATCCAGAGGCTGGTAGCCTTGTGACCCTCAAAAGGCTTGTTTGGTTTGATTGAAAACACAGGAGACAACTGTTTTCTGATTTGGAGGCTATTAGGTAGGAAAAATTTCCCTCCCCCCCCCCCCCATCTTGTTAGGGTCTCACTATGTAGCCCTACATAGCCTGGAACTTGCTATATAAGCCAGGCTGGCCTCAAACTCACAGAGATCCTCCCACCTCTGCCTCCAGTGTGCTGGGATTAAAGTATGTACCACCATGTTTGCCCAAGAGTTCTCTTTTATTCCGAAGAGGAGCAGTTTTGTCTGTGTGTTGTCCAGGCCTTTATGTGACTGGATGAGGCCAGGGAGAACATTTAAAACATCCAGGATAATGTGACCAACTATCTGGGCATCCTGTGGTCCAGTCACGTCGATGTAAAATCAGTAGAAGCCTGAGAGTATTGGGGAATGGAATGCGTGATGAAGAGATGGGATGAAGGACCCTAGTGGAGGAACGTATAACTAAGGCCTTCATGGAATGTTCTATATTGCCCGCTACCTGATCTGAATGTGTGGCTTTTGGAGTTACTGCTTACTTGAGACTTGAGTGGACCTTCCCTGGCATGTAGGCACCCAGAAGCCCCCAGCCGGGCCTGGATTGAGACTGGGAACTGGTAAGGCTCTCCGCAAATGCTGTGGAATGGATGAGCATAGCTGACTGCTGGCTGTCCAGAACCTACTATGTCTGCAGGGTGCTTGTGTTTGCCGGTTTTCAGTTGTGGGAGCAAAATACCCAAGACAATCAACTTGAGGTACCAAAGTTTTGTTTTGGTTCATGGTATAAAACCATTGTCAGTTTGTGTTGCTGTTTTGGGCTGCGGTAAAGCAGGACTTTGTGGTGAGGAGTACGGAGCAAAGCCAAGCACCTCACTGGCAACTAAGATGCTGAAAGAGAGGTGGAGTTGCCATGAGATGCTCAGCAGGTGAAGGTGCTTGCTGCCCCAAGCCCGACAGTCTGGGTTTGGTTCCCAGAAGACATGGTAGGAAGAGAGAATTGACTCTCATAAGTAGTCCTTTGACATCCACAGGTACTCTCACATGGATATGTGTGTGTGCATGTGTGCACCAGAGCACACATGCACATACACATACACACACACAGACACACACACTAAGTGTTTTTAAAAATGGAAAAAATAAACCAGGTTGTGATGGTGCATACCTGTCATTGTGGCACTTGGGAAGCAAAGGCAGGCGGATCTATGACTTGAGGCCAGTCTGGTCTGCAGAGTGATTTCTACACAGAGAATCCCTGTCTCAAAAAGCCCAGAAAACCTTTCTTTCTTTCTTTCTTTCTTTCTTTCTTTCTTTCTTTCTTTCTTTCTTTCTTTCTTTCTTTC